CCTGGTGAGAAACTACCTTTAGTCAATACTTTAGTTACGTCAATGACTAAAGTCAAAAGTTTCGTCATACATCATTATTGCCACCAAATATGTCTCTAGATAATTTTACAGATATTCGCCGACTAATCTTTTAAGTAACCAAATTTAATATTTAATACTGCAAAAATTTTGTTATAATTCTATATTTAGTATAGATACAAATATAGCAAATAGCAAGTTGAAATCGAATCCAAAGTTGAGGGGGAGATATCATGGGAATTTGAAAAATAAATTCCAAAAATAAAGAATAAGAAGCTGGTTAATACTATGTTCTTTTTTATTATTATTGTTAAACAGATATTAATATTGATACATACAGTCAACCCTGTCACTGCTGTAAAAAGTCATTGTCGACAATAAATAAAACAATAAAATTATTTATTGAAATATTTGGTTGTATTAGTCTTTCATTGTTTAATAATGTTATCTTTTTTCAATGATTTAAAGGCTTTGAATTCTTATAATCTATTTCTATATCACCTTGTTGATAAAAATTAAAAGCTGTCACAAAGGTGATTACAGCATTTTCTGTTGAAACTTTAGGTGTAATATTACTCTCAACAATTTCTTCCTCTTCAGCTGGATTAAAAGAGGTCATTATTTCTTCCTCTGTGACCATTTCATTATTTATTTGCGAGTTGTCAATGGTAATATATCCTTATACTTCTAATGGAATAGTAAGCGATAATTGATTGATTGGACCATTAACTTCATCTTTTTCGGCATTTGAAATTTCTTCAACAATGTTTGTTGAATATTTAATTTCATTATCAAATGTTTCGTTTTCCGAAGGAAGAATTCCAACAATTGATAATGTTAGTTGGTGTTACATATTCCCAAACTTTAGAACATATTTTTATTGCATTTGTTATAGTAGTAAGCTTTGATGAAGAAGTAATAGGATCAGGATTTGAAACGTATGAATCATAATTACTCGTTTTTTTTTTAAAGTATTAGTTTTTTATAATGCGCCTGTACTATATAAATATCAGTATAGTGTAAAGTAAAAGAAAATCATCTTGATTTATAAGGGATTGGATTTTTTATCAAGTGTTTTTTTTGCTCGCGTACATTAAATTTTGTTAAATAATTTGTTTTTTAAATATTTAGATAAATCTTGATTAAAAATTGGATAAATAACTTATTTAATTGTTTGGGGAAAATCGGATCTTGTTGCTTACTTGCATTGTTTGGCTAGGATTTTAGGATACAATTAGTATTAATGTTAGAATTAATCTTTAATATCAAGTGTATGTATTACTATTACTATTCGTGTGTAAATATTTGCTTTTAAGGTAATTATAAATCAAATAAGACGAATTTTAAAATTGGTCAACATCAAATCTTAAGTTCGGTTTATCAAATCATATTAAAATTCGACTTAACAAGATA